TGCTTTGGTTTCTCACATATTTTGCTTCCGCCTAACTGGCGGGTGGTTGTTATTCTCCACCCGCCAGGCCTTAGCATTTTTCTTTCAAATTCATTTTGATGCAAATTCATTTGCATATTACGTAGTGCTATGTTAGTACATACTGTTGATTTGTCTATTACATCTTTTTCATGCTTTAATGTTTGAAAAATTGGCTTTTCTTCTTCTGCCTTTTCTATTTTTATTTCTTTATTCTTTTTCAGGGTAAAATTTAGGAAGTAATGTATTTGAGATTCTGATATTTGTTCAGGTGAATTCAGAACTTTCTTCTTGTCAGCTAACATCATCAAATCAGACTGGAAGTAAGGAGTTATGTGATCACATTGTAAGGCAGAAACCTTCCCCTTTTGGGCCTCTCCCTTGACATGAGTTGACACTAATAATACAAGATTTTAAGTTGTCTTATGTTTAAATGATTAGGTTACCAGCTCTAGATCATGCACTGGTGATGCATTATATGAGGAAAATTGCTGTCAGGATTATAATGAGAAATTTGTGGTATAAATAGTTAGAATTGATGTGTTAAATTGTATACTTTTGTTTTCTTTGACTGCATATAAAAAAAGAAGCAGCTAATTTATTGTAGAGAAATTGATGAACAGCTCAAAAAATCATTTGAGGATACAGCCGCTGTTGAAGATCCAAAGTTACAAGATGTTGATGCAGAATATACTTACTCCAACTGTGAATCACCTGGTATTTTGAATGATTCACGCCTGTGCCAGTATCTGGATGATGAAAAATCTGAGGAAAGGACTGGTAATAGTTGGAGTTCTAAGCCATGCAATATATAAAATACTTTTGTGTGACTACTTGTAGAGTTCTAGTGCCAGAGTTTTCTAGTTCTTAAACTGAGGCCACTTGCAGTTCTTTTAACTGCTTCCTCATTCACATAGTTTGCAATATGACAATTTCATTGCTTGTTCAGATTCAACTCCCGTGAAGTCCACAACCGAATCTTGTCAATTGCCTAATTATGGCAAGTCCCAACTGCAGAATGGAGTGGTAAAGGTAAATTCTAATTTGTGGTACTTCTGATTATTATACTCTATTAATATTCTGAATTTTGATTTTCTTGCAAACAGGATGGTGAAAATGAAACCTGCACCTTACTAGAGGAATTTAAGGATTTAAAGAGTGAACACTTCTCTCAAATCATAGCATCATCTGAGGTGTCCTCCACTGAGGATCATTGTTCTGTTGACCTTGAGGAGGTAACAACTGCATAATTGAATGATAGGAATCAGTTATGCTTTTTCTTTGGCTTTGCTATGTTATTTTTTTTATGAGATTGTAGATAACTAGGTATCGTCTTTTCATGTTGAGATCTGACATTTGACATTACCATGAATGTTTTGATTTCTCTTCTTTCGGATCTTTCTAATTCTCTATAGCTTTGCAGTTGTAATTTGTAAATACCTGGAATAAAATTTCTGACAAGTATACTTAGACCTAAATATTAGTTGAATAGATTTTAATTTCTTGAATTGCATATACAACAATAGAAGAAGCTTGTTCAGGTTGAGTTTAAATAATGTGTCTTCTTAACAGCTGAAATTTTTAGTTTAGGCGGAACACTTCATTCAATAAAGCTAATGTATTGTTCCTAATTGAGAAGCAGTACAGAAAATCTCCTGAAGATCCAAAGTTAGAAGACGTGGAAGTGGAAGATACTCCTTTGGAATGGAAAGCACCCATGATTTCAGCCAATTCATGCCAGTGCAGTGATCAGGAAGATGAAAACACCAAGGAAATTATAGGTAATAGTCAAAATTGTAAGTTACACTGAGCATTAACTTCCAAAAAATTTTGTCAAGCTACCCATGCTGCCAGAGCTTTATAGTTTTAAGCAGCACCAACCTTTGTACTTCTTTTGATCAATTCTTTGTTCACCTAGTTTGGTAAAACATGTGTGATCTTCACTTGTTTTTTTTAGATTTAACCATTGTGGAGGTCGAAGCCAACTCTGCCCTACCACCTAATGTCATCAGATCCCAACCACAGTGTGAAGAGGAAAAGGTGTAATTTCTGCTTTAAATTCTTTTATGTGTATGAACCATGATGTTTTGACATTTGATCATTATGATTATGCTCTTCCACCTTCACTTTCTTGTATGTCTACTTGGTCTCTTTTCTGAGAAACAAATCCCATATAATTTTTGTTTTCAAATTAGACACCTAAAAACTCATGATGCTCTTCTGTTTTTGTTTAACTCAGAAACACTTGCATGCACCAATGCCAGAATCTGAAGATGTTGGAACATGCAATCGTAGATGTGACGACAGCAATGCAACAGAAACTGTATTGAAGCACACTTCCTACAGCAATTCCAGACAGGCAGAAAAACCCAAAAGGTTAGTGCAAAACAGCATTTTTTTTTTCTCTCCCTTCTCGCCTTCTGGCACTTGCATTTTTTCCTATAACATTGCTTTTAATCTTGTGTTATAATTAATTTAACAGGAGACTCCTACCAGCTTCATCCATTCTACTAAAAGATATTGACAGCGTAGACTTCGTGGATGAGAATGAGAAGGCAAAGGTGAGACACTAAAACTTCAGGCCTTCTGTTTGCTGCACTAGTTTCTGCTTGAATTGCTCTTATATTGCCTATTGCACAGGCAGTCCATGTTGTCCTAAAACCTAGACCTTTCCATTTTATTAATTGAATGACGTGTCCCATTTCAACAAAAAGTTTAATTAACAGTAAAGCCACACATTTATATTCTACATGTTATATATGCTCAACACCATTTACAGTTCTGGTTCTGCTGCATTCACATTGACATTGCCCATTCCATAGGCACCTCAAAAATTGCTGTCAGTTTCATAAAATATATGGCACACCATTGCCAATAGGCTTTACTTGCACTCTTGATCATAAAATTCACTATTTTACTTACATATATGTTAATAGAAAGCAGTAAGTTCATCAGCTTTGTCTTGGTAATCCTTGGAGATGACATGGTTTGTTCAAATAACATGTAATAGGGTACCAGAGGAGAAAGGAAAGCAGCAGCAGTGAATGCCAAGAATAGAAGTGAAGGGAACTTATCTCTTCTTCGTTTGCTAATGAATCAACCACGTTAGCTGGTTTTGGGCCTTTGGCTAGTTTTGGCACCCAATGATGTAAAATTCATGTTGATATGACACTTCATAATTCATGTAAAACTTTGCTAAGGGTGCACTTAGAGCAACTACAACCTCAATAGTTGAGGTTTTCCTTTATCAATTTTTTGTAGGCCCTCCGTCCTAGCATCCACCTCATCATTCACTATCTCATTCAAGGATTTGAATCCAATAGTTAGATAGAAAATAGACAAACAAACATGATAATGAGTATCAAATCTTATAGTAGGGTTGAACTATATAGTTAGTTTTTTTTTTTTGAAAACCAAAAGGAATAACTTTTATTCAATTAAATGTTTGATATAAGAAGGAATTGAACTAATCTAACATAACGGACTAGATTGAGAACGAGCTGCCCTAGCTAAGATATGTGAAATCTTATTCACTGATTAAGAAAGAAACTTAATAGACACTACTTCAAAGTGTTGTTGAAAATCCCGGTACTTGCGAATTACACATCTTGCATAAGAGTTGTTCGGTAAATTACCATTGATCAGACTGCAAAAAGAATTGACTAGCCAATGTTTTTAAATTGAATGAAACATTTATCTTAAAGTAGGCAAACAAACATGATAATGAGTATCAAATCTTATAGTAGAGTTGTTTAAGCACAATGCTTTTAAATTGAATATTAAATATTTATCTTATAGTAGGCAAACAAACATGACAATGCGTACCAAATCTTATAGTAGAGTTGTTTAATCACAATGTTTTTAAATTGAATGAAATATTTATCTTGTTGCATAGTTTGTAGACTAGTATACATAATACATGGATAGAGTTTATTTTGACTACATCTTCATTTTGAATTTCTCACTATCTAAAAAGAATTGACTAGCCAATCTTCATTGACTTGAAGTCAATATCTTTCTATTTTTATTTTGGCAATAGTTTTTTTTTTTTTTTTTAATACTAATTTGTGGTGGGATTCATGAATTTCCAAGTTTTTGGGCTATTATTTTTAAGATAAATTAGAATTATGTTATATTTCAATTATTATTATTTTGTAATAGCTCATAAACTATACAAGAAAAGTCATGCAAAGATTTATAAAAATTATATTTTTTTAAAGTATAATTTTAACTTTAATTTTTTAAATTATATAGATGTGTTGTAATAACACCACATCACAAATAATTATTAATAGTGATTTTTTTCTTTGAGTACTATTGACCCTTTTACATGTAGTATTTGACTATCTGTTGCCCAACGAGTCAATATCAACTCCAGTGAGTCAGTCACTTCATGCCGCTTGACCGACCACAAAGTCTTTGGCATTAATAGTGATTTTAGTATAAAAAAAATTCAAAATATGTTTAATTTACTAGTAATTATTTTTTAATTAAATATTGGACACAAAAATTTGGGATTAGCAAAGTCTATGTTTAGAAGAATGAGTTGACCGTAAGGTTTGGGCCATTGACTAGACTGGATTTGATGCGGTGGCCGTGGCATCCGCCAGTACAAATCAGCCACGTGTACAGTAATAAGCTAAACAGCCAATTGCGTTTCAGAAGCAAAAAATTCTAAGAACGCGAAAGACATTCTCATTGGCTGATTCGTAGTCGATTCCGTGAACCCTACCACACAAGAACAAACAAGGTATTCCCACTTTCCAAGTCTTCCCAAAGAGTCTTCCAGACCCTCACAAGTTCTCCACGTCTATTGCGTAAGAACTATCCAATCAGATCTTGCCATGTAGACACAGATTCATCGCATCCGTCAGATCATCCACGCTGGCATTACTGAACATATACCACGTGGCGGTACTTGACACGTAGGACGGAATGGCTCCCCTGCTCGGAAATCCGAGTATATAAATCACTCACTGAAATCGAGTCCCCATAGCAGAGCTTCTTCTTCGGCAACTTCGTGAGGAGAAATCGAGTCGACGGTAACAATGAGGAAGTGGGCGGTCCCGGCCGTGCTGTTTCTACTATGCCTTCTCTTTCTTCTTCCGGATCAAGGTCAGTTTTGGTTTATCTTCCGCCATTTCTGATGCTTCCATAGATACTTATGAGTTTTGATTGACATGTCTATCTGAGATTAAAGAAAAGAAAATTTATTGAATTTTCTGAGAAATCATAACTTAGCTGTAGTTTTGTAGTTAGAGCATATTCAGTTTGCTGAGAAAATCGCACTTTACTCAGATCTTCTACAGTAACTCCCGTATTACCAAATGTGCAATTCATTTTCTTTTTTTGGTAGTCTTAGATTCAAAGTGTTGGATCACTACAGTTCTGGATCTAGTCTAAGATTCAAATATGAATTCTATTTCTGTTTCAGCTGTATTGTTTAGTCTAAATTTGAAGTGATTAAGCGGGATGTTAGATAACTACTGAATGTAGTGTTTTATGATTTGGAACTTTTTGTAGGCCGGAAGATACACGCCAATGCAGAAGTTGATTCTGATGCACCAGTGGATCCTCCCAAGGTTGAAGAAAAGATTGGTGGTGTTCCGCATGGTTTATCCACCGATCCTGATGTGGCTAAAAGGTTTGTGACTACACTGCATATTTCTTGGTTTAGTTTAATCTTTTGCTGTGTCCTGAGTGTTATTTGAATTTGTGGTCCAGGGAAGCTGAGTCCATGTCAAAGAGGACACTCCGAGCTGGTGCGGAGAAATTTGAGTTCCAGGCTGAGGTTTCTCGGCTTATGGACATCATTATCAATTCCCTTTACAGTAACAAAGATATTTTCTTGAGGGAGCTGATCTCCAACGCTTCGGATGTGAGTACAGTTTCAGATTTTGATTGTTCTTTGAAATGACATTGCAAAAACCTTGTTAACAACATACATTCAATTCAGGCATTGGACAAGATCAGATTCCTTTCACTCACTGACAAGGATATATTGGGTGAAGGTGATACTGCTAAGCTTGAGATCCAGGTTGGTCATTCACTCCTTTGGTATTTGTATTTTTAAACTATTACTGTTTGAAATTCTGGGTTAAGGCTTTGACTCTTTCTCCAATGCCTTGAAATGCACAGATTAAATTGGACAAAGACAAGAAAATTCTTTCAATTCGTGACAGAGGAATTGGGATGACAAAGGAGGATTTAGTTAAGAACTTGGGAACCATTGCCAAGTCTGGAACATCAGGTATCTGTTTTACAAATATGGCAAGCAATTTGTTGCTAGCTGGATAGTTTATCCTCTGTGTGGTTGAACTAGTTGCATGGTTTCTAATTTATTGTTTTCTACAGCCTTTGTTGAGAAAATGCAGTCAAGTGGAGACCTTAACCTCATCGGACAATTTGGTGTTGGGTTCTATTCTGTCTATCTTGTGGCTGACTATGTAGAAGTTATTAGCAAACACAATGATGACAAGCAGTAAGTAATATTGTGGTATTGCTGATAAGTTAAATGTGTATGTTTGTGTGCGAGTGTGCCTATACGCATGAGTGTCCTGTCTCATTTCATTCATTTGAACGATTTCTGCCTTCAGATATGTTTGGGAATCAAAGGCTGATGGAGCCTTTGCAATTTCTGAGGATGTTTGGAATGAGCCACTTGGCCGTGGAACTGAAATCAGATTGCACCTTAGGGATGAAGCTGGTGAATACTTGGACGAAGTAAAATTGAAGGTGAGTATACAAATATTTATGGTCTAAGACATGAAGATGCACTGGTTTTGTTTATGCAATATTTTTATACATACTCTCATGGAGACAGCATAGTTCCATACTCATTTTCCTAGTTATTGGTTTTTAAAATATGGATCATTTTCTTTTATAGTTTAGAACTGCCATCATTTTACTTCCACATGCATCTTGGATAAAACAACAGACTATTTCCTTGTCTCTCATTTGATTAAAGAGTTCATAATTGTTTAAGCTATCTCTATTCTTTGAAGATCTATCCTTATGGATTTCACTATTAGGGAGGAGCCTCAAAATGAACAGGAAAAATAGGTTATAAGCTTCCTATATCTTGGATAATACAGCATAACAATTTCTCAAAGCTGATGCTGTGTAGATATATGCATTACCTGATTCCTAGTTTGCTTGTTTTATCCATTGAGTTCTCAAATGAAAATCTCACTGTGACTAGCTTAGGATTGATTTTTCATGTTTGCATGAAGGACATGACAAGCCATACTTCCTGTCATGGACCTTCATTGAAGATTGTGTTATGTGTTATAGGTCTTTTATTTTGGTTATGTTCTGTTCAATCAAGTGGTTAACATTTTTTGGTAACTATGTTTTTAGGATTTGGTGAAAAGATATTCTCAGTTCATCAACTTCCCAATTAATCTCTGGGCAAGCAAAGAGTTTGAGAAGGAGGTTCCTGCTGACGAAGATGATGTTGAAGAAGAGGAAACATGTATGCTTGATAGGGAAACTTTACTTAACTTTGTTGTTTCCTGTTATGGCAATGCTGATGTGTAATATTATATTGAGTTAGTCCAATTGACATGTTGAATGTCTTGAACAGCTGACACCAGCTCTTCTGAGGAAGAAGAAACAGAAGAGGAAGATTCTGAAAAAGGGGAGGATGAGAAAAAGCCAAAAACAAAGAAAGTGAAGGAAACAACTTATGAATGGGAGCTTTTGAATGATGTTAAAGCTATATGGCTGCGGAGTCCCAAGGAGGTGACAGATGAAGAATATACAAAATTCTATCACTCTCTAGCCAAGGTAATCATCATATACTATTGGTATGGTTGCTGGGAGAAGAATTCCTGAAGATGTCAATAACTGAAAGTTTTATATTCTGTTGACAGGATTTCAGTGATGACAAGCCCCTTTCATGGAGTCACTTCACAGCTGAAGGTGATGTGGAGTTTAAGGCTGTTCTATTTGTTCCTCCAAAGGCTCCCCAAGATTTATACGAGAGCTACTACAACTCAAAGAAGTCCAACTTGAAGTTATTTGTCAGACGTGTCTTTATCTCAGATGAATTTGATGAATTGTTACCAAAATACTTGAACTTTCTGTTGGTAATTTTCAAACTTCCGAACTTCACTATGTCCCATAAAGGATTGGTGCTGAGATTAACCTGACGGTGGTTGGTTCTTTTTCCAGGGTCTTGTTGACTCTGACACTCTACCACTGAATGTCTCAAGAGAAATGCTTCAACAACACAGCAGCTTAAGAACAATCAAGAAGAAACTCATCCGCAAAGCCCTTGATATGATCCGCAGACTTGCTGATGAGGATCCAGATGAATCAAGTGACAAGGACAAAAAAGGTTTTTGATGTTCTATTCTCTTACATCGTGACATCAATTCATTGATTAATAATGATAATCTGATTACTCTTGATTTTCAACAGATGTTGAGGAATCTGGTGATGAAAATGAGAAGAAAGGTCAATATGCAAAATTCTGGAATGAGTTTGGAAAGTCAATAAAGCTTGGAATTATAGAGGACGCAACTAACCGGAACCGTTTAGCTAAACTTCTTCGTTTCGAGACGTATGCTCATAGCTTCCTATTATATTAGTCTTGTCTGATTTGCAGCTTAAATAACCAAACTGTCATTTGGTGATCCGCTTGCTCTGTTATTCTTTTCAGCACAAAGTCAGATGGTAAACTAACCTCACTAGATCAGTACATCTCAAGGATGAAAGCAAACCAGAAGGACATCTTCTACATTACAGGAACAAGCAAAGAACAGTTGGAGAAATCTCCCTTCCTTGAGGGGCTTAAAAAGAAAAACTATGAGGTATAACTTCTTAAGAAGTCCTGAGGTCAAAACATGATTATTAATGTTATATCTTAGATTGTTAATATTATTATTATTATTATTATTTTTTCCACATGAACTAATACCATTTGTCTTTACTCTTTATTTCCTCCAGGTCATTTTCTTCACAGATCCTGTGGATGAATACCTGATGCAGTATTTGATGGATTATGAAGATAAGAAATTCCAGGATGTGTCCAAAGAGGGTCTGAAGATTAAGGATTCAAAAGCCAAAGAATTGAAGGAATCATTCAAAGACTTAACCAAATGGTGGAAAGGTGCCTTGGCCAGTGACAATGTTGATGAAGTGAAAATTAGCAACCGTTTGGCTGACACCCCCTGTGTTGTGGTAACATCGAAGTACGGTTGGAGTGCAAACATGGAGAGAATCATGCAATCACAAACCTTATCAGATGCTAGCAAGCAGGCATATATGCGTGGAAAGAGGGTGCTTGAGATCAATCCTCGTCACCCGATCATCAAGGAGCTCCGTGAGAGAGTAGTAAAGGACCCAGAGGTATGGTGGAAACAAACAAACTGTGTTATATACTCTAATAGTCAAATCCATCTTTCATAAATTTTGATTGTTTAATGAAATTAAAAAAATTCTTTCAACAGGATGAGAGTACAAAGGAAACAGCACAGCTTATCTACAAAACCGCTCTCATGGAGAGTGGCTTCAACGTCCCTGACCCAAAGGATTTTGCCTCTCGTATCTACAACTCTGTCAAGTCCAGTCTCAACATCAGCCCTGACGCTGTGGTTGAGGAAGACGACGAAGTTGAAGAAGAGGCCGAAACCAGCTCAAAAGAAGCAGAGTCTAACCCAGAAAACGCAGAAGATGGTGCTGATGGAATCAAGGATGAGTTATAGATTATCTTGAAGAACAAGTCTTCTGTGACTAGCTTGTTTATTGCAGTCCTAAAAAGACTAACGAAGAACCCCAAGTGTTAGAGTTGATACTAGTTTGCTGTAAACACATTTACCAGGAATTTTGTCTTCTAAATTTCTTTTCACTCGGTATGGTACGGTTTTACGCTGCTTAGTCTTTGTGCAATGCTTTGCTATGCTATGTAATATCATAATTTTGTTTACAATCCGTCTCTATTTACACTTCCCCTGAAATCCTTGTGGTTTGTGGTCTCACCTATTCCTGTTGGTAAGTCTGAAACTCTTCAAAAATTAAATCTTAGTTATGGAAGAAAGTATTATAGTGACCCATTTTAAGTGATATCATGGATTGAAGACAACATTTACAAGATTCGAGGTCGAATCATTTTTAAGAAGGGAAGGATGATGCTGCCCAACATAAGAAAGATCTATTAAGAGTACTGATAAGTTATATACCCTGGATCCGTGTATAATCGAATCGGGTCGAGCGGTTAGGGTCTTGGCCTACGGGTCGGGGTCAAAGGTGACGAGTCAAATCCGAGATGGGTCAAACTCACCACCTCGGTGGCTCTATAAAAAGGGCTTCTAGCCCTCTAAGTGGGGGGATCTTTGGCCCATTTGGAGCCATGAGCTCTCTCTCTCACTCTAAGCTCTCCCTTTCCCCATTTTCTCTAAATTCTCTCTGCAAAAACAAAAGATGAATAAAAAGGGAATTTGAGCTATTTTCTTGTGTTCTTCCTCTTGTTCATACATATATTTTATATTTAGTACGTATAACCGACATCCGGTGAATTAGTACTATCAAGTACCAATTGGACCAATTACAAAGCACAAGTCCAAACAAATAAGGCAACTCTTCATTAATAATGTTCAAAGATTGTTAAAATTCAAGTCAAGTCCATTTGTAAAAGATGAAGAAGAATTCAAGATTTTTTTTTATAATTGTTAAGTGCCGATTCCTCATATACGTGACTCATAGTTGTATATTCACACACCATTTCAAACCTTAAAGTTTGCATGAAATGAAATCACCTTAAAGTTTGCATGAAATAAAATCAGATTCTCCTAGTGATCATTTGATTGGTGGGAGTGATGTTTTATTATTGTATAAATAATTCATAAATTTCTGGGGATTAAAATGTCATCACCGAAAGTGGAAAGTTACATTTGGTAGTGCTACTCTGATCAATACACAGCTGTACAAAAGACAATATGGATTATATTCTGCAATAATAATCTTAGTGCCGATGTTGTTGACTCCCAACATGTTGGCCTTCGACGTACTATCCCACATTTCATCTACACCTAGAGATTACATCCCGACAAATCATTACAATAATTGATGCAACCACAAACGTATCTCAGAAGTATTGATCTAATAGACAGAAATTTCACTCAAAATTTACTTCCGACAATCGGAAAAACAAAAACACAAAAAAGCAAATAACCAACAAATTGATCTGAAACAATTAATGTTTTTTATGGTTTATTTTGGATACAAAAATAGAGAGAGAGAGAGAGTGTGTGTGTGAAGTGTATGTACAATGTGTATATAACTCATTTTGCTTTCTTGTGGACTAGAATGTCTTATGTATAATCTACGTACAAGTCTGCAATGCATGTGCATGCATGTCCGATCCGGGGAATTGAAAAGCCAATAAAATGAGAATATATAGTAATATAGATAGATATATTATTATAACAAAAATAATTGTAATAAGTGAATTAAAAGAAGAATAAAAAATGCAATGGCTGAGGTTATCGGAGACTTGGAATGCAAGCCGAATTGTGACGTCATTCTCGACGAATCCCCAGTCAGGAAACCCGGCAGCCATGACCGACCCGAAAACATACTGTCCTGCGGACCCGAATCTTCATTATTTCCGCCCACGCCTGTGCTGAACGACGGCAACAACGACGATTTCCGGCTGCAACATAATACATTATTCTTCTTATGTTATTCGGTTTGCTTCATTAGGTAGAGAAAATATATTTAAACCGATACTACAATGTAATAGAGTCAGTAACATTTAAAAAAAAAAAGTACACCTTCAAAAGTATTAGTAAAAATTTTAAATTTATGCCGAATATTGTGAAAACATTATCTCCCTTACCTATACAAATTCAAAATATTTTCTATTTACTTTTAGGTTAGTTGTATCATGTGCAAAAGTGATAGGTGGGTTGGTACTTAAAAATTTTCCTAAAATTATAGTATGGTTGCACAAATAAATGAAATAAACAAGATAAATTGATCTGTATGCACACAGGTGACAGGTGGAAAAAGCTATAAAAAAAAAGTTGAAGTTCAGATAAGAAGCAAAAATGAAGCCACTAAAAAGATTCTCTCAATTAACCACCTATATATCAACGGTAACTGATTAACCTATATATAATCACAATTACATTTCTATGTATTAGAGGTAATTAAAAATCACTTGTAATTTCTAAATACAAAAATTATACTTTACACACTTTAAATTATCACTCAATTTTAGGTTGTATTATATATACCAATTCTTCAAATCACTATAAAAATTGACTTTTTTTAAGTGATATGGCTGAAAAGCTAAAACATTATTAACTCCATCTTTTCGATTGAAAGGGTAATTGAATAGACTTAGTTCAGATTTAACATCTTTATCTTATCGAATATATCAAAAAGAAAAACTAAATCTCGATGAGTGAGACATATTTACATGCTCATTTAAATATAAAATACTTTTTAAAAATTCATAAAAAACAATTTTATAATGTGGAGAAAATAAAAAAAAAATCAGCCGACAATGACGAGGACAAGGATAAAAAGGATCATAAAAATGTATTGTGTATATATAGAATATGTTTTGGAGTTTAGAGATTTAATAAAACATTAATTAAGGTTAATTAATTACCTTGTTAATGAAGGGCAGAATGTAATCCTATAATCCGCTCCGCTACACGTAAACGTACTGGTGGCGTCATCGTAGGCGTAGCTATACGACCGCGGGCACGCGCTCTTGAACATCTCGGAGTACATCGACGGCTTACACGTCGCCGGTGAGCCATACGCGCCGCTGCAGCAGTATTCCGGCGTCCCGAACGCCTCGCAGGCGCTCTTGCATGCCTGCCCGTCCGCTGCCCGGAGCTCGTCGGGGCACATCCGGTTCAGGTCCTTGGCGCAGCCGGTCGACCCGCATGCGCCCGACCCGCCCACGGCCTCCACTTGCATTGGCAAGTTGTACCCGTCCACCAGGCTGACGTCATAGAAGTCCTGGGCCCCCGACCCGATCGTGAACTCCGCTAGCGTGGCCGGCGGCGTCGCGCCGGCGCCGTTGCATTCTACCTGGTTGGAGCCGCAGTCGCCGGTGGCGCAGCTTCCCTGCCCGGTGCTATCGTCGAAGGTGCACGCCGTCCGTCCCCAGATCCGACCCGACCAACTCGCCGGCGCGTGGAATTCCCGCGACCCGCCTGGCCCGAGCTCGAACCCGGTACTATCCAACCTTTCACTACCGGCATTTGCAAGAATCCCCGGCCATACTGTGTAGTCACACCTGTTAATAAACGTAAAAGAAGCCCCAAAAACGCCTGAAAAAAACAAAACAAAAAACAAAAATTATAATTCATGCAAATACAATTCAAGAATGGGCAAATGATACTACGTTCATTTTATATAGTTGTTAGTTTTCTATGTCTTTTTTTTTTTTTTTTTTTTTTTTTTGAGTTTCGAGGAAAACCCGTAACCATTAATCCAGGGTTTTCGCCGGAAAAACCCATGCAACATTGTAAATTTAGCCAAAGAATACAATGACGCAAATCAGACTGAAAATTATATGAAATTTCCGACCATCTAAAAGTGATCTTAAATCAAGTTGAAAGCAAAAAGTGGTCGGAAATAGCAACAAAGGTTTTTCCGGATACCAAAAATGGTCAGAACAAGGCTTTCTACTTGATTTAAGATCACTTTCAGGTGGTCGAAAATTTCATAATTTCCAGCAGTGTACTCCTAACTGATCTGATCAAACCAAGAAATTAAGGGTAATAAGTTGCTCCGAAAGCTAGGAGTTAAACTTGTAACATTGTCGTTAATTTTCAGTTATCATATATGTTTCGTTTACCTTCAACGATGGCGAGGATAATGGCGATGGCAGTGGCGAAAGAAAAAGCAGAAGACATTCGGAGATGAAAGCTGGCTTTGGTAATGAACTGAAAATTAAAGAAGAAGAAGAAGAAAGAGAGGAGGAAGAGGGAGGAATCAGAAAGGATATTTGGAGTTATATATAGGTGTGAGAGAAGTGAAAGGAGGTTAATTAATTGGAATATAATTAATGGGGTTATGGTTTGTACGTAAGAACCCATAATAAATTAAATGAACAGGAAAATAAAAAAAGGGACGACGGCAAAACCCTAAAAGGTTATCACTTCTTTTTGGTTGAGTGATTGTGATTTCACTATCCCGAATAAAATGTTTCTTTTATGTCTTGGGTATTAGCCACATCTCCTATTCATTCAGTAATATAATTCTACTAGCCCGTAACGCAGAGATTCGAACTCATGACCTTTGATATCAAATTGAAACCTGTGTTCCATCTCAATCCAAAACTTAAATAAATAGTTAGATTACACATTAATGATTATATGTTCAACACTATTAACCTCATACTTAAGTGAATCAAACCATTTTACTTAAAATGTAACAAAACAAATTTATACCGTACCATTAATTTTTCTGGATCGATTAATTAATTGAATTGATATATAGATATATATGGTAGGGGAGTATAGTGGAGTGATGAAGCAAGGGTGTTTAAAGGTGTTTGTGTAGCCGTCTATAAGGCATTGGCTAAACTTGTTCCTTTTTAACGACAAGGATACTGTGAAATATCAGCAACACGTTAGCTTCAACCTTTAAAATTAAAATTAAATTAAATTATTTTTAAAAAAAAAAAAAGGAAAAAGCAAGATTTAATCCACGTCACTGTCCCCATTACCGTCATGGAATGCACTAAATTGGATAGTGGACCCACGCCCTCAATCTGGACAATTGCACACTGCACCGTTGACCAAAAAATATGGTTGAAATCATAAAAAGTTACGGAGTATATAGTTAATTACCTACTTACATCACTTGGCTATTCAAAAACTGCTTGCTCGCATGTGATTACCACACTACCGAGTATATGTTAATTATTATACAATTGCCCCGAAAAGGCGACTAATTAAGTGCATAGAATATAACTCTTGTATTTAAAAGTTACGAGTTGTTACATCAGGTGTGAGCTTTGTAATCATGAAAAATTGCAAATAAATGAGTTAATACCTTCCATGCAAATCTTTCGAGTATTGTGCTATTATCCATCCATTATGGCCCCAAAGTTTTAAATGGATAAGGAGACGTCTTCCGAGTTTCAAAAAATAACCTCCTTTGGTCCTCTGATCTATTAGATTGTCTGTTAATTGTGTCTTAAAATTAAGGACAAACTCGTCTTTTAAATAAGCTTCTTCTTTTCGATCGACGCTTAGCACTTTTTTTGTCCCAATTTATTTTTTTCCCCCCAAATCAGAGAGCCGTAATCAATGAGTCCTCAAGCATGGCTTGAAGCGTTGGCTTCTGCTGCAGCATGGACGACGCCATCGCCGCCCGAACTCGAGGGGTGGGTCTCGGGTTCTCCTTCCCCGCCAATCTCCGGAGGCTCTCCTGGCCAACGCTATACCCTCCGACAACGTGCATATATGCATGGAAGCTATCTATTAATTTTCTTGGTTTGAGCCGATCAACTATGGACAACCTTTATGTTATTTTAGCTCTTTAGCTTATGGTCATTTGTCGGCTAGCTAGCATCACAAGATAGGTTACACCTAAAGTGTATATTCAAATTGCAGATGTGAGTTTTTCTATAAATTAAAGAGAGCTATATCGCGATAAGTATAAATCAACCAAATCTAACTCTTAAAAGAGTAAGTTAGTCTTGTTGGCATGCAATTCAAGTCTCCCAACCAGAGTAGGTCAGTTTAATCACCCAAAATGCAAGGCTAAATGGGTCTATTGTTTGTATTCTTAATTACTAACTGGGTTGTCTTATAAGTTATAACTCCACAAAAGGAGTAATCAAACTCTAGCTACCTAGATTGTAACTATATACTAAACCAAATTCAATCTCCGACCTCAAGATTATTGGTCAAATCATAATCTAAATAAATTATAAATTAAAAAAAAAAAAAGAAAAAAAAAAAAAAAAGAAAAGACAACCTTGCATGCATATCCTAAAATTTATAAAGAAGATTAGCATGCATGTTGGTATGAACATGTTTTTCTGTCGTGTAAAGGCTATTTGGATAATCAGAGTCGTCCTTTATTGTTGGTGTACATGATCACACTCATCTTTAAACTTAATTATACTTTGGATTAGCCACTAATATTTCTTCTTCCTTTAATTTACATTGCAATTAACAAAATTAAAGATTTGACTCATCCTCACAACAAAGTTCTCATCTAATCTCAAACTTCTCAACTTAATATAATTAATTAATCGCCTCTTTAACATCCATTTAACACAAATCCCTCTTTCCCTCACCTTTGTTATTATTTATATTTTCTTAAGAGTATAAAGTATTTTAGTTATTAATTAATTAAGACCATATACGATAATAACGACAAATAATTTTTCGAATGTTCAAAATGATCTGAAAGTTAGTGGTTATCACGATTTTTTTAATACCACAAACTCTAAGATTTCAATCAATTTTCGATGCTCGTAAATCTCAAATTTTCCAGTAGCAAGATAAAAACAGGCATTTCAAATGATAATTAATTAAAAAATATTTTTGACATATGATATATCTTAACAATTGAATTTAATTACAAATTACAATGTACAACTAATAAGTATATTCCCTCCCACCACCCCACCCCCCAATTATATTTCTTTTCTTGCATGGGAAGATTGGAGGCTAACTTGATCTCATCTAATCTCATCTCATCCATATTAATTTTTGAATTAAAAAAGAAAAAAGTTGTTCATGGAATTCGTGGTAAATATACATTTGTATACCAAGCAGATAAGAGTCATAGTTGAGAGCTCTTTCATCTGTTTTTCAATAAACTTTATTAAATTACTACTTGACTAGCAAACATATATAAAGTATTGGGAGAAGAAGAACATACACATATAAAGTATATAATTTTTTAAAAAGGAAATTTGGTGTAAATTTGATAAGTTCTTATTATGTGTAATAATTTACAAATCACACAAGAGATATAAATTGTACGGGACTTTGTGTGACAGGTTCGATTGAAAAAGTATTAATAATAATCAAATTTGTAACTTTTTTATACGAGAATTATACTTCATCTACCATTTGAGTTTAATTTAATTTTATATAATTAGTGTATGTCGCGTTTGATCTTCGACGGTGACGAAATGATCCATAAACGCACAACGACAATCGTCGAAGCTAAAGATCGGTTGCAAGTGAGAATGCTTACCAAAGTGATGTATTACGTACGTTATTCATGCAATACTTAAAATAGATGGCTCTACTTGGTAACATAGTTAACGAACTTTTTGATTAATTAACTTTTTGTAACAGCTTGTTGCTCTAAAACACTAAAATTAAAAAAAGCTGCTTAAAGTAGCTTTTCAAATCAACTTTCTTATAAGGTCATTTTGCATGTAATTAGCTATCTGCTAACAGTTAATTTACCAACAATAAGTTAATGTCATCAACTAGTCAAACCCCTAACCCAATTAGCTAACAACTATTTAACAAACACTCTCCTAATACACTTTAGAGGTGTAAACGAGCCGAGCTGAGCTCGATAAGCATAGTTCGGCTCGAGCTCGAGCGAGCTCAAAAAATGATGATCGAGCTCGGCTCGGCAATTTTTCGAGCTCGATCTTGAGCTCGAGTTCGAGCTTGAGCTTGGGCTTGACTTGAGCTCGATTTTAGTCTCGAGTTTGACCTATTTGAATTCATATTTCAATTAATAATAAATATTATTTTATCTTTACATAAATAATAAAAACTTTAAAAATTCAAAAGTCCAAACTTCGGTAGTGGCATCTGATTTGATGCTCCTGCTTATCGGCGCCAGTGGCATCTCCGGGGAAGCACCAATTGAGCTCGAGCTCGAGCTTTGACCGAGCGGCTCGCGAGTCGGCTCATTTACACCCCTATTACACTTTAGTGTATTTAGTAATTTAGAATTTGTTTTTTTTTTTTTTTTAAAGGTGAAATAAAAACAGAGAATTTAAATAATAATGTACGTATTGGCAAATGTATTTTTTAAATTGAAAGAAAAAAATGGAGAAATAAAAACTACATTTTTTGGAAATAAAAACTACATAGTAGGAAAAAAAAAACGAAAATTGAAATAAACGCAATTCAAATACACCCCCTTCATCTAATACACCTTCAATTATTTCTGCCTAGAAAACACGACAGGGGACATCCCCAATCAAGTTGATCAGACGATTGTCTCATTAATTATAAGGTTATAATTCGATTCTTTAGTGAGATTGTTTATTATTATTAATGGTTTGAGTTGGTCAACTGTGGGCACAATTTATGCTAGTTTACCTTCTGGTTGTCATTTGCCGGGTAGAGTACAATTACAAAGAGGAGTTCACCCAAGGTGCACTTTTGAATAGTGGCCAGACTTTCCCGTAAACAGTGTTAGCTTGGCTATGTGCGGCAAAGGCCTGGGCACAGAAAAGTGACGCGTTTAATCTCCAATGTTAGAGATTCATCTTAATCTGAGGGAAAACTCAAAAACCCTTTGAAGTTGGAGGGGTAACTTAGGAAATTCACGTCTTATTCTTGTTCTTATATTGAAACCATTTTCGCAATTATTTTTCACTTCCCAGACTCGTATTTCAAGGTTATTTCACTTGTTAGGAATCTGGGTCTCGTATAAGGAACTTGAGAGTCAGTAAAAACAAGGTAATACTTGATCAGTACTTCTAGGCGTGTGAAATAATATGTACACTATCTTAAAAGTCTCCTAAGTTTTTATTTACACCTAGTTAGTTAAGATATTAAAAGTTTAAAACAGGAAAAAAATTACAATTAATCTTAAAAGATTCCATGGAAGAATGGTAGAAATACGTGACTATTGTGTTTCATCTTAAAAATTTATGGTATTGATTTTAAAGATTGCACTTTTGGCAGGATCTCATTTATTTATAAGAGCGGAACCACAAAAATCTAAAAACCGCCCTCAAAGCAAATTAAATTTTG